TCATTGCGTTCATGTCAAAACAGAGCTTTTTACCATATGTCCCCGGGACAATTGCTGATGGCCCTCTGACCTTGTTGTGGCATTTCAGAAGTCTCTCTGGCTGTGTTTTCCTGAAACACTCAACAGCTTTCATTTTAAGAGTCCACTGAAACCAGGTTTTATTTTTCTGATTTCTAGTCATATGCTGCAATGACTGTGAGTCAAATTTTTGCAGGGCCTTCAACCTGAACAACATAGACTTAAATAACAATATATTCCAACTTAGTTCTGCAGCTTACAATCAAGTGATTGTATGGGATTTGTTCATGCATTGCCAGAAGTGGTCTATGGCAAGAAGGGCTGCTAAGTTGCGAAGTTATAGAATCAAGAATCATAGAATTGTAGAATGGCTTGGGTTGAAAGGAACCTTAAAGGTCATCTAGTTTCAACCCCCTGCCATGGGCAGGGCTGCTGCCCACCAAATCAGGCTGCCTGTGGCCTTGAACCTGGCCTTGAATGCCTTGAGGGATGGGGCACCCCCAGCTTCTGTGGGCAGCCTGTGCCAGGACCACACCACTCTCTCAGTGAAGAATTTCCCCCTGATGTCTAGCCTGAATTTCTCCTCTTAGCTAAAAGCCATTCCCCCTTGTCCTGTCACTCTACCCATATAAAAAGTTGAATTCCCTCCTGCCTATAAGCTCCCTTCAAGTACTGGAAAGTTGCAGTGAGGTCTTCCCAGAGCCTCTCTTCTCCAGGCTGAACAAGTCCAGCCCCCACAACCTTTCTTCAAAGAGGTGCTCCAGCCTTCTGGTCATCTTTGTAGCCCTCTTCTGGATCCACTCCAGCAGCTCCATGTCTTTCTTGTGCTGGGGGCTTCAGGCCTGGACACAGTACTGCAGATGGGGCCTCACAGAGGCAGAGCAGAGGGGGATGATCACCTCCCTTGCCCTGCTGGCCCATCCCTCTTAAACGTCCTTGAAGCACAGTTTTCTACAAGTTGGGAAAATATACAGAGCAAACAGAGTAGTATGCTTTTCCTGTTCAGAATGAAAGCTTTAGAAACCCATTCTAGGTGCTACTGAAGACAAGACAGATGGGCTTTTGGTTTAATCACTGGATTTTCCTTTGCCTTCTGTTTTCATGTAGTTTGTTTTTAGCCAGAACCATACTTTTGGTGGAATATAATGAACCTTCTTAACATTTACTGGATTCACAAATACGCTTCTTGAAAACAGTGCTATTACCAAGTAGCCAGGAGGGGTCATTGCTCTGGGATTACAGGATGTTCTGTTCAACTCTTACTGCTATGCACAGGGCAGCTGAATAAAAGCACTGAAAGGAGCCCATAAAAGTCTGGAAATGTGTATTGGTGTGATGCATCAAAGTTCAGTGAGAAGCTATTCTGAAAGTGTTTCTAAGCAGACTGAAATTGGCAATACTGTCAAGTGTGTGAGAGAGATTTAGTAAATCAACAGGCCAATTTTCTGTCCAAATAGGTTCAGATAAATTCATGTGACTACTGAATAATTATACAGTGCTTATCTGACTGAACTTCCAGCCCAAAGATTGAGCATTTCTGGACAATTTGCTCAGCTACGGAAACCTTTAGTGAGACATTTTAATTGCAAGAGTGCAGGCAACATCAGATGATAAAATCTGCCATTTCCAGGTCCCTGGTAGCTCATTTATCTTCCTGGGGGCTCCAGTTTTTAACGCTTTCCTTGTACTTGCAGATGCCTTGTTCTTGTATTTAAAACAAGGGCTATTAGTGGGCTGTTACAGAATGGTAGTTGAAGATCACTGATCATACAATCGTAGAATCATTAAAATTGGAAAAGACCACTAAGATCAACTTGTCCGAATGTAATCGTGTATATTTGTAATAATAATAGTAGTAATAATAATAATAATAATAATAATAATAAAGCTTTAATTCAGTGAATACCGCAAAAAGCATGCTATAATTAACACTGTTTCCAAATTTAATAATACTACATTTAGTTTTAATTGTGGCAAAGAACACGCTTTAATCAATCATATATATCGCCATTAATAAATGACGTGATTTTATTACACCTTTATGCTGCTTGTGAAAAGATATATTGGACATCTTCACATTCATGGTGTTGTCTGATGTTTGTAGGCTAATCAGCTTGAATCTTTACATACCATGTCACTAAAACATTGGTAAAATCTGACTGTTATCTTCCTCTTCACTTTCTCCCCACAGAGATGTACCCTTCATTGCTCTCTATTCATATGCAAAAGTTTCCATCCTCAAGAAATCTCTAAGGTGTCTTCTTAATCCTGAAAGACAGAATAGGGTGTATGCACACCTCTGTCACCTCAGCACTGCTGCAGAAATCGGCACTGTGGAGGGCAAGTGTTTTTCCAGGCTATAGCCTGTGTGGGAATGCTGAAAGCAGCAGCAGGAGTTAACACTGGAATTTCCTCCTAAATCATTTGGTTTGGATTAATCACTTGGGATTTCCTAAATTGAATGCTGGAACTGTACAAGAAGTAATATCCTGAAGTCATGCAGCAAGTGGTATGGTTTGGCACCCCACACAGGCGTGACTGGGAGACGCTTGTGAAATGGTTTAAAGGTGAGAAAGTCACGTCCAGAGCTGAGGGCACAGGAGGTGGTTGTGGCACAGCCAGGCTGGAGTGGAGTACTGTGGTGATGGCATGTCTTCCTGCTGTGGTGGGCTGCAGTGCTGTCCCTGCTGGTCCCTGCACCCCTCAAAGCTGACAAACCAGATGGGTGCAAGATTTGGATTTGGTAGCTTGATGGATTTGGTGTGGCACAGGTAAAGTAATAGAAGCAAAGCACAGTTGCTCACATTTGCAGCGTCACAGGGGTCAGTCTCCTGATCAAGTGCCAGATCCCTCACTCTGATCACAACAACACCATGCAGTGCTTCAGGTTTGGGGCAGAGTGGCTGGAAAGCTATAGAGGAAAAGGATCTGGGGGTATTGGTAGACAGACAACTGAACATGAGCCAGCAGCGTGCCCAGGTGGCCAAGAAGGCCAATGGCATCCTGTCTTGTGTCAGAAACAGTGTAGCCAGCAGGAGCAGGGAGGTGATCCTCCCTCTGTACTCAGCAATGGTGAGGCTGCACCTCGAGTACTGTGTCCAGTTTTGGCTCTGGACCATGTTCAGAGAAGGCAATGAAGCTGTGAAGGGTCTGGAGCACAGTTCTTATGGAGAGAGGCTGAGGAGGCTGGGATTGTTCAGTGTGGAAAAGAGGAGGCTCAGGGAAGTCCTTATATCTCTTAAACTGCCTGAAAGGAGGTTGTGGCAAGGTGGTATTTAAGTGATTCCAGGTATTTAAGTGATAGGATGAGATGTAATGGCCTCAAGTTGCACCAGAAGAGGTTCATGTTGGATATCTGGAAAAAATTTTTCTGTGACAGTGTGGTGATGCAGTGACACAGGCTGCCCAGGGAGGTGATGGAGTCACCATCCCTGGAGGTGTCTGAGAACAGTACAGATGTGATGATGAGGAAATGGTCAGTGGGCATGGTGGGGATGGGTTGGTGGTTGGACTAGATGACCTTAGTGGTCTCTTCCAGCCTTAATAATTCTATGATTTTGTGTTGAGTCAACATGAACACCTTCAGTGTTCTTCAGTGGTGCTGCAGCAGTGTTGCTGCTGGGGGGACAGAGTGCATGAGGTGCAGCAAGGCCACATGGTGGGGCATGGTGTCACCCTGTCCTTAGCTGTGTTGCAGTCAGAAGCTGGAGTCTCTGGTTATGCCATGGAAAGTTCCTCATATGCATTAACATTCTTCAGGCAGCATTTGATAAAAGAGAGCTGCAATCTTGCTGTAAGGCTTGTGGCCAATGCACTACTGAGTCATGAAGAGTTCAAAATATTTTGACGTTAAGAGCTTTGGAATTTTCTTTGCTTCCATGGCTTGAGATGGACACAGACCAGTGAGTTTCCTCGCATGCTGCGGGAGTCATTTACTTGATAAGGGTTTTGGGTGCAATGTAGAGTGATGGAAATGATTTCCGGCTTTACTCTTGCCTGATTATTGTTTTTCAAAATATGTTCTATGAGCATTAAAGCAGTAACTACATATATTAATAACTATAGCAATGAATACCTATGATGTAGTATATGCATAGTACAATTTTAGAAGATGTCTTAAATGTTTCTGTCAGTATGTCTGATACTCTTACTTGTGCGGTTGTTATTTTACCTTCAAATTACAGCAAAAATAAGATCTGTTCAGAGTCATGATTTGTCATTCCAACTGGAATTAGTCATTGGTCATCAAGACACTAATCAAATTACCTGTTTCTAAAGAATTAATTCAATTTTACTAATATGTATGAGTAGTTGCTAACTCCACCAAACTCCTCAACGAATTCAGAAACTTTGTCTGAGTTGGCTTCGCCTTTCATCGTCAGCACTCTGCTGCTGTCAGTGCAGAAGGACATGTTGCTGAGGGATGCCCACCCTGCTTAGAATCACAGAACGATAGAATACTCTCAGTTGGAAGGGACTCACTAGGATTACTGAATCCAACTCCTGGCTCCACACAGCACCACCTAAAACTCAAACCATATTTCTGAGAGCACTGACCAAATGTTTCCTGTCTGCCTTGTCTCAGAGCTCCATTGTATGAGGGGTTAGCTCGCTGTAAGGTGCCCATTTCTCTTTAAGGACTCAAGATCTGGGCAAGTTTAAAGAGACCCCAAAATCAGGCACCTTGGACAGATCGATCCCCACACCCCATCCTGTGAGAAGCTGTCGTGTGCCATTCAGCAGGGGGCAACCTCCGCGGCTCAGAGCAGGATCCCATGGCACGGGTGGGCTGTTTGCTGTGGTGTGTTGTTCAGGCACAGAAATATAACACAATAAGATTTAGGACGGTATCTCAGAGGGCAGGCATGGGTACCCAGAGCCATCCCGGCACTGAGTGCACAGTGACAATTTCATTGCTGCCAGTTCCCTGGGCAGGTAACCCTTGAGGTGTATTTATTTAGTGGGAGCAGTGCCTGAGCCTGGGGCACGGATTTGGCATTTCTGGATGCCCCAAACCTTAAAACCTTCTTCCACACTTCCTTGGCACTGGGTCGGGCAGCATCCCACTAAGCAGATCCAGGCTGGGATCCCCCCGATGCCACAGGAGCGGGGTACGCTTCCTCCCATTCCCGGTTCCCTCTCCCTTGCCGCTCTCGGACAGCCACATCGGGGACCCCCGGTGCCGGAGGGGACCCCGGAGCGGGATTTGCCCCCCTGCCGTGCTCGTGATGCGGGGGACGGCGGCGGCGCCCGGCCCCGCCCGGTGCCCCTCCCGGGGCAGGGCGCAGGCGGAGGTTTGGCGGGGGGGGGGCCGGGGCTGACGAGGCGTGATCGCCCAAGGCCCCTCCTGCCTGCCGGGGAAGCCTTAAAACACCCCGGCGAGGCGCGGAGTCCCGCACTCGGGAGCCCCGACCCACGGGCAAGAAGCGCCAAGCCTCGCCCGGATCCGCTCCGCTGCGACCGCCGCCGTGAGTACCGCGACGGGGTGGGCACGGGCACGGGGCCGGGGGTCGCGGGGCTGCTGCCGGGGGTCGGCCGCGCTGCTCTGCCGTCGAGGCGGGCGCTGACGGCCGCTCTCCTCCGCTCGTCGTCCAGATGCAGGGCACCATGAGGCTGTGGGTGTCGGTGCTGACTTTCGCCCTGTCGCTGCTGGTCTGCCTGGGGACGCTGGCAGAAGCGTACCCCTCCAAACCGGACAGCCCCGGCGAGGACGCTCCCGCAGAGGACATGGCCAGATACTACTCGGCTCTGAGGCACTACATCAACCTCATCACCAGGCAGAGGTAGGTGGCGGGCCCTGCAGCGTCCCCTTCCCCGCTCGCTGGGCTGCCCTTCTCCTGGGGCGAGGCGGGAGGGAGGGGAGTGAGATGCCCCTCGCGGCCGGGGGTCTCACCTCAATTCCTTCAGGAAAACCGCCGGCGAGGGCAGGATGTGGATCCTTGGATCTGGAGGTGGATTTCCACCTGCCTCGACGCTGCCTCCTCTCCTTCAGCCCTTTCTGGCACCTGGCACACACGGGCTGGTGGACAGGAGCACGGCCACAGGGCAGCGGGTGTGGGGAGAGTCCCCCTCAAAATTGAGAGAAAATGTAACTAACCCTGGGGAGGATGAGGCAGGGCAGTACGAGCTGTTTCACTCTGTTGTCGCTGCCACTGACTAGTGAAGGTTTCACTGGGAAAAAGTGCCCTTTGCTGAGAAGTTGTAGGAGTGGAAACGCTTTGTCAGCTACTTAATAGAGCAGTGAATGCCAGAAACCCCAGTAGTCTGACAAAAACTCTCTCAAGACCATAAACAAGAACTTGAGCCCAAGCCGAAAGAGAAGAGTGTGACCCAAAGCTGCCTTGCCCCATGCTGGCGTTCTGAGGGTCGCTGTGCTGCTTAAAGGGGTGCTGAAGGCTGAGGCTGAGAAAAGTTAGCATTGTGCTATAAAATTATTTTCTTTGGGAACATCTGTCCACTTTAGACTGATTAATAGAAGCATTCCCTGAGGTCCCTAAACTGTGCGTGACACAGAAGACCTTTGGTATATTTGTCTATTTGTTTAATATCAAAACCAGATGAGAGATCTATAATAACACTTGCATTTGTCCCTGTAGAAGTCTGAAGAGTTAAATCAGAAGGGAGGCTATGGTGTAGCTGAGAGCTTTCCCAGCAAACCCATGACATTGTCTGCTTGTGCGCTAATACCATAACAGAGATGAGGAGGCTGATAACATTATGGTTCTTCAGTCCTGGACTTTTAAAGCAATATTCACAGCTGTTTGTGTGTGCAGTGTGTTTCTGTGCGTTGCACTGTGCTCTTGTAACTTTTTGTCAGATGACTGCTAAAATAATCTGTTCCTGCTGCTGTCCCTTTCTCTTGCATGCACTGGGATCTCTAGGCTGGTTTCATATCTCCACCTTTTTTTGATTCTGTTTCTGATTTAAAAGGTACAAGGCTGAACAGCCCCCTCCTTCTATATTCATCCTCCACTATAGAAATGAAGAATCATAGAATCATACTATGACTTAGGTCAGAGGGGACCTAAAATATCTAGCTCCAACCTCCTGCCATGAGCAGGGCTGCCAACCACTAGATCAAGTGCTTGCTTTAACTTTGCATGGCTTTCTTTGCTTATGACTTGGCTGCAAGTACACAGCTCAAAGACTGAGACTGCTTTCACTTGTATTTAGGCTCTGAAATGAACGGAATAGTTATTATTGGCTATAGACAAAACAATTCAGAATTTCAGTTTCCTCATTCAGGTTCCATCAATCCAGTATTGACCTGGATTTAAAAGAAAACCGACAGATAAAATCACAACAACGACAACTTGATTTTAAAGCTGTCTAGAAAGCTTAACTTGAAAACAAACACTCCAACAACCAGAATTGTGCTCTTTCTGTTCTGCGGTGAATTAGCAGCAGAGAAATAAGGTGACAGAGCTCTTACTTCAGCAGTGACAGTTACTTGCAAAATGAATTGCTGTCTTGATAAGCATTCTGATGTAAACATGTGCATCACTTGCTCTGTTCCAGCAGAGGTGCTCAGAGCCATCTCTCGCTAAAGTGTTTGGCCCTGCCCTTGGTGCTTGTTCAGCCAGCCCTGTGGTGGGGAGGTGGCAGGGCCCAGGCTCACCCCATGGGAGCAGGCCGCTGGGGCTGGGCCAGGTCGACAAGCTGCTTGTTGTGGGACGGGCAGCAAGGATTGGGAGCAGTGCTTTTTTGTCTCTTCAGTTCATCTGTCTACTCTTGTTTGACATTTATGTGATCATGAACAACCTTCTGGCTCAGCCTTCTGTTTCTGGCATTTGAGTGTAATTCTCTGTGAGTGACCAGGATCCACCCCAGCTACTGTGAAGCTCCTTCCAAACCCTCCTTCTCTTCTTGAATCCTGCTCTTGTCTGCATGGCTGCTTTGCTCTCTCTCTCCTTTAGGGTTCTTCTCCTTCACATCCCATCTCATTTGGCTTAGTCATATGCATACGTCCGCTTTGTACTCCTGTGAGATGATCTGAGGGAAATAGATACCTGTTGCACTCCAGGCCTGCTTCAGACTTCTCATTTCAGATGAAATCCATTGTTTACAAGGTTCCAGATCTTCACTGATGGTGAAGAGAACCTAAGGTGACCAGCACAGCTGCAGACTCCTACACTGCAGATGTCCACATGTCTTTGCATTAATCCCACTTCTGTCCTCAAAAATGTCCCGTGTCCTTGCCTCATACCCCTGTGCTGCACTGTTTGAGAGCTTTCTTCAGAGCCCAGCTTTCTTTGAATCTTTTCTCCTGCTCCTTGGTGCTACCTGCATGCCCTGTAACCAACAGGCCCTCTTCCTTTCATGTTTTCCAAATGCCAAAAAAAGGCGTGGATTTCTGTTTGTGTTGTCTCAGTACTGTCCGTCAAAGACACAGAGCAAGCATGAAGCAGCTGAAAGAAGAGAGAACATCTGCACTGAGGCTTTGCTTTCACAACTGCTCATGACCTCTTTGCATTATGGTTGTACCATGGTTGTTTCCCAGCAGCAAAATTATGGGGTAGACTGGAAGCTTTGGTACCTGGTGTAGGAAGAACAGCTGCTCTTTGGTCACACCAGTTGGTGCATCCAAGGAACCCCTGATGTGCAGCTTTGCTGTTTCAGGACAAGGTGGGGCTGTCCTGTATAGGTAGCAGCACTGGTCTCGCCATGCTGGAGGGACTCATATAATGCGTGTGTCTCCAAAAGAGTCTTCTTCACTGTTTGAGCAAATCTCTGATTAATGAAGGTTTCTACCTGTTTCTTGCTCAGAGAAAACTTTACAAGAGGTGAGTGAGACTTTTTGCCCAAACGTGAGCTGCTGGAGCAAGCTGTTGGATTTGTTAAATAAATTTCTTAAAAAACAATGGCAAATTAGATTACCCCTCAGTTGAAGCCGTGGTCATATCCTTATTAATTGGAGTAGGGAACAGGAAAGAAATCCCTTTATGGTGATTGAGTGCATGGCTTTTTATTTAGCATCATGCTTGATTGCATTATTGTAATAGTATTTAACCTTTCAGTCAGTTTAGATTGAGAAATTTGTTTTAAAAATCTGAATTTGATACTTTGTCTTTCTGGACCAAATATGATGTTCTAAAATGATTAAGGTGAGGCAGTAATACAAAGAGAAATAAAATGATAAAGTGAGAAATATGTCCAGTTTTCAGGAAAATAAGACATCAATTGATAAAACTTGCCCCCCTCCCCAGAATTAGATTAAGCCATTGGAGAACAATCTTGATAGCAAGGGATAAAATGTAAGTCTTTGATGGCACCTTTGACTTCTCTGGAGCTAGAATTTCGCTCAAGTGATGTTCACAAAGCTATTATCTGTTAATGTACTTTGTGATTCAGACTAATTACATACACAAGTTACAAACCACGATCTTAATTCTTTCCAACCTAGGGAGCGTTTGGTTACAGTTATCACAGGTAATCTAATGAGTTGTTATGGTGAGTGAGTGTCTCTCAAGCTGGCTGTTTGGTGTTGTTTCTGTTTTCTGAGAGAAAGAGAGCAAATTCTTTCCTAGAATGAAGAATTGCTGTATTTTAACTGTTGAACAAACTGTTGGTAAAATATCCTTGATTTAAAAAAAAGAAACAACAAGCAAATAGACAGCCATTGTGTAAGTATAAGACAAAAGTAGCAGATTATATCCTGTTCAACCAAAGAAGAACTCTGATTCTGATAGGTCCATAACCACGCAGTTCAGGAGTGGTTATTGCCTTGGGACAGCTCAGTTTTTATCACCTAATCTAGTATGTAGTGGGCACCTCCAAATGTACTAGCTAGCTTTTAAAAATCTTGGCCAGTTCTTCAGACACAATGGCATGCATGAATTTTGCATACTGTTCATATAATAGATAAATTTGACTCTACATTCATGTAATTTCTAATGAAGGATACAACAGAATGTAAAAGAATGAGAAACTTAATGAGATGATGGAACTGGGTTTGTAAGCAAGAATGACATGCTCAGGAGTCTTGTCATGCACTGCTTCCTCCTTCAGTAAGGATCAAGGCCCTAAAATATCCAGGAACATCCATCGAATTGAGAAACATAGAATTGCTCAATACTATCAGGTAACAATTGTCAAAACTATATATTGAAAGAAATACTGAAGAACATTTTCTAATATGAGTAGATCAATTTAATTAAAATACTTGTTGTAAAGTTGTTTTTATATCAGCTGTATTTAGTTTTTTTTTCTGTTTAATAGTTCTCTGCTTAATCTTCATTATTAAATATCAAGATAAATAAAAACATACTTCTTTTCTTTTTTCTTAGGTACGGAAAGAGATCAAGCCCAGAGACACTGATCTCAGACCTCTTGTTGAGGGAAAGCACAGAAAACATTCCTAGATCCCGGTATGTTTGAAGAAGTTTTATAGTGGCTTTCATTTCTAACTTAGATTTAACAGTCCTATTTGTTATCAATAAACATGTTCCATAGGGAGAAAACACATGCCACCAACAGCTGGATAAACATATTCTTACAAACATTTTCAACTTCTTTCTTAAGAACTAGAATCATCCTATCAATGCAAGAAATGCTCTCCCAGGTACAATTTAGTCCAAGCTCCTTGTTTCCTGATTTTGGGAGCAGGCAGAACCTGCTGGCTGAAGGAGGGGAAGCATTCTGTAAGTCTTGCCCTTTACTGGGCTTTATTGCACAGAATTGTGCACTGATGCCTGATGATGATTCGCTTACATATTGAATCCCCAAAGATGGCATATTTTTATTTATTTCCTACTCCACAAGTTGACATTTTTCCCCTTTAAAGAGGTGTGATGAGTGATAAATGTGCAGATATGTTTATTTACAAATGCAAAGCTACGACTGCTCTTTAAAATACAGTATTTCACACTTGTTTTGTACCTAATGTTTCATAAAGTGTGGGAAAAAGGCCTTTGTATTTCCACTTGCACTTGGTTTGAAAGAACAGTGGTGTTTTGAACAGCACTGGAATTTCAAATGTATAATATGTAATTAAGTAATGACACTGAAGTTACAATGTAAGATACTACAGTAGTGACCACAATTTACACAGCTGTGAAAATTTTCCCTTACTCTGCCTATGCTGAAAAAGTAAATATAGGGGGTTTTATTTTTATTTTGTTGTAAAAGAAAACATTCATTTCAGTCACAAAAAATCATGAATAAGCTCAGTTTAGGTCTTTACTGAAAGTATGAAGCTTGCTGCTAACACTGCTGCAGGAATAAACGTTTTGTGCAACACTCATCTCAGGAGTCAGGAAGCTCTGCACTTCCATCCATTGTGCGAAAGCTCGATTAAACTAGTTAAATAATTAACTGTAATAGTGTGTAGCAGTGGACTTTGGGGATTATGATGTCACCAAGAGGTGACCAAAACTCTGCTGTCAGTGGAGTGTCCATCAGTTTTGCGGATCCATGGGTAGGAAGAATGTTGACTTATGGTTTGATGACTAACCACAGCTGTTGGGAAATGGTTTTATCTGCATATGCTTATGTAAAAAACTGCATGGAGTACATTGAAATGCTTGAGACTATTTTGTGTTTTGTAATGAGAAGGCAGAACCCTCACATAATGGGAAATTTCCGCTGCCATGAATTTGAAGCAACACAGAGGGTAGTACAAAGTCTAATACTGTCTGTAATTTTCCCCCCTTTACAACAAAATTTTATGGTTGTTATTGTTTCAATAATGCTATTTATAACACGCCAGGGAGCTAAGACTCATGAGCGAAACAACAAACAAGTCTGCATTTAAGATCAAGAATTGATGAGAAACAGATTTTTATCTCATACCCCCCTGTAACAGCTCTTTAAACTGAGAAAAAAAGCATGTTTGTCATTCGTTGATGACAATTATGTGAGTACTGGGAACAATGATGTTTAGTTTCCTATGGATATGTTTTCTAGGATAAAACACAGTATGGATTCTTCACCCCACTCCAGCTTTTACCCCCATGTGAGGATATAATCATGTCTTTCTATCCAGCCCTGAGTTTGATGACACATCCAGAGCTTTCTCTCTCCAAGACATCAGTACCTTTCTCTGACTTAGTGGAAATTTTCCAGCGGGTTTGAGAACTGATAGCAAAACTAGGAGAGCCCCACAGGTTGGACACACATCAAATGTGCCCAAGTACAGTGTGTCTATATAAGCATTCCTCCTAGAGAAAACTATGCTAAATGAATTAAAGGCAAACTGGTATTATTTTAAACTTAATGATATTCTAAAACATCATATATCTTAGATGACATATTTCATGCAATCTCTGAAACTGAACACTGAGGTACTAAGAAACAGCTTAACTGTGTTCAGCATGTCTGGCTGAATTCAGCACTTCACTTTTGCTGACTAAAATATGTCTTGTAGCGTAAGCATATGTCAGAGCATCCAAAAAATGTTTAATGATTTTCTCACAGAAATCAAGTGAAAGTTAGGAAGTTACAGAATTGAAAAAAGGAGGTGCTTTGACCTGAGTAAAAGTAAGTTCTTATAACAAAAAAGTGAGATGATGTTTTTCTGATCTAGTGGATCCTGTGGAGTTCTGACTCAATAACAGTATGCATTCTGCTTCTATGAAACTCAAGTATCTCATGTGAAGGAGCTGTTGAGGCTCCTTGTGTAGTCAACAGGAGAGGTGGATCTGTCTCATATGAGCCATTCCATCCTCAAATGGGCAGGCTTAACTACCCTCTCAGGGTGTTGGTGTCTCTCCAGTGACTGTAGAGGCAGATTAGATGGTTAGTTAAGACTAGCCACCCAATATTTAGATGGCAGAAATTATGGAAAATCTATTTCCATGTATCTCTCTTCATATTCAGTGGTAACTTGTCGAATATCTTTCTGTGTAGCCAGAATAAGCAGAGAATGACTAGATCAAATCCTGCTCTCAGAACTGCTTTCAACATATATTTCAAATGTTTGATGCTAAGCAGTGGAATACAATGATAACATATTGGATAGTTACTTCAGTTTTGTTTGAAGACACTGAAAGCACGATGTGGCTTTGTTTGGCTCCATTCTCTTTGGAAACTGATTACTCCTGATTAAAAGCTAAAAAGCTCTCTTAAAATACATGTGTGTTTCAATATAGTTTACAAGACTTTTGATCATCCAAGGTTCATCTGTTTTGATGGGAATCTTGTGCTGCAAATGTGGGTATGTATTCCTTATTGGTGCTATTATTAAAATGAAAATTTTAAGTAGTTGTAACTCTGGATTTCCCAGAAAGAACTTTAAAATGTGTTTAATAGGTTTCTATTCATAATATGTTTCAGGTTTGAAGACCCTTCGATGTGGTGATGGGATTTTCAGCACACCATCCAAATTTTTCCTAGTTTTCAATTCATACTTCACTCCTCTGAAGCAAATCATAGCATCATTCCCAGTGCATGCAGCCATTGTACTGAACTCTGTAGAGTTTTTCCTTCATCATATTTGTATATACTTTTATTTAAATAAATTATTTGTGCATTCCAAAATACAACATACTAAATGAAAACAAGCAATGTTGTCATTGATATAGCAAAGAATTGTTTTAAACTATTAAAACTGAATTATAACCTCCCTACAGTCTAAAGAGGTATGGACAACAGTAGTATCACAGTTATTACAGTAATTAGTGTGCAAAGACACCATTTGTGGTAGCATCAAACTGCACTTAGCTGCTTGATTTACCCCAAATTGTTTAAAGTAATTCATTGTGTGCTAAATAATTTAGGAAAATAATATTCTGAGCGATTTTTAATAGTCACCATACTGAAAACTTAGTATTGACACTGACAGATATTCAGATGAACAGCATTTTTGAAATAAGCAATGAAGTGCTGGCTTAATTCTTCTAACTTCTCAAAACTGGTTTGAAGCTTGGGTGTAAGCTTGAATTAGGAATTTTACATGAAACAGATACCTTTGTTTTGGCAATATGCAGAGCAGCAGAAAGCAAGATTTAAAGTAACTCATAAATCAGGACAGTTCTACAGCCATACTGCCTAAGTTGATTGGCATGCTGCTTAATCAAAGGAATACTCTTGTAAATCACATGCCTTTGGGTACCTGCACTCTGAGCACTACTCTCATTTGGAGTCTTTCACATTTTTGTTTCCACAAGAAAGTTCCTGGAACAGGAATATGGGGAACTGTCTTCAGGTTTTCATTTTGATTAATTTCATCATGAATCTAGTGAGGAGTTACTTAGATACTGTTTTTATTCAAGTAACATGATGTGATGGCAGCATATGATTTTAATTCACACAAACTCATCTTGCAGTGTGGTTGTATGCAGCATGACACAAATGCTGGTTCTTCATTCCTGCTTCAGGAACAAATTCTTATCTTTAGACACTTGGACTGGACATTGTATAATAAAGCACATAAAAAGTTCCAAGTTGGAAAGGAGTCAGCATGAAGATTTAGTACATTTACATCTCGTTCCTGCTGTACAAATGTTTTCATGTGGCTGTTACCTCCAGGAAAAATGCATCAGTGCAAATCAGGTCCAGATCCCAAGAAATGCTGCATTTGCTAAGTGTTACCAGGTTCCATGGTCTTGCCCCCTATTTTGATAACACTTTCTTCAGTAGAGCATAAAATATTTTTCATTTTTATTAAACATCTAGGTGGCACTTAAATAGATAAATTTTGCTTTCAGCCACATTTACAAGTTTGCTGATGGGTTTCACAGTTAAATTGTAAGGGGTAAGAACAGTCCAAGGCACTAAGGACATGGTTTAGTGATGGGACTCAGTAGATCAGGTTTATGGTTGGACTTAATCCTGAAGGTCTTTTCCAACATAGATGATTCTATGATTCAGTGATAAAATATCTAGGAGCCCCCAGTACAAAGCATTGCTACGAATGCAGTGACAGTGTTCAGAGGGACTCCAGAGTGGTCAGTGGAGTCTTACTGGTACTTATTGGAACTACTGGAGTCTATCAGCTGCAGGCCAGGACCTACTGAGTGAGAGTCCACCTTACAGTGCTGGTTTGAATAATTGTTAAAAAGAAAATTGAAAATTAGTGAGGTATCTGCTACGTATTATCTCTAATTCCTGGTAATTCCTAGTGACTATACATTTATATTAATGACTGTGTTAATGATAAAATCTGTAGATGATAAAATGAACTCATGTTGCTTAGCACTACTGCTGCAAACATGCCTTAGTGGAGAAAGAAAGAGTGAGACAAGAATTAGCACATGCTAATTGCTCATTCTGAGCAGTTCCACTCAATTACCTAGATTTTTCTTGAACTTAAAGAACACCTATCTGCGAAGAAAAGCTAGAAAATTCAAAAATTAAAAAAAAAAAAAAAAGGCAGGCTTATTATTAATGAACTGTAAAAGACAGAAGCAAGGCACAGCAGTCACATGGCATACATCTATCCACACAGTGCTACAATTTTCTCTCTAAAACTTTCCTGTCCTGGCATACCTCACAGAGAAAGCCAATGTGCTTTGGACTTACTTTCCCCACGTACATCAAATACCACTCTTGACAAGCCAGGACACTGAAAATATTGGATCAGCTCCCCAAACTGCAGAGTAGGCTTAGAAAAATGAGCTGTGAAATGAAGATAAATGCTGGATTTGTTTGGCTTGGTTTCTTGGTTTCTGCATTCTGGCTTTATGGTTAACCTTTTCATCTTCTTTTCCCTTTAACCCTGTGAAAAAGAGCCATGTTTCTAAAACAAAGGCTGAACTTAATCTCAAACTCTTAGGAAGTGCAAGGAGAAAAGCAGCAAAAAGGGAGAACCATCAAAGGAAGTGATGGTTCACCTTTTGTTTATTTATTGAGGATTTGAAATCATGAGTAATGTACAGAGATAGGTGTAAAACATTTAAAAGGCAGTCCACCTTTACCTTTGGCAATCTCTGTAATACACTTCCCTGAATTACACCCAATTTTCTTTTAAGACATTAGGAGATCTACATGATCCCATTAAACCATACATCTTCTCCTCTAGGAGAGGAAATTCTCTCTGTCCTTTTCTTTTTCCATGCCTAGAATCAGAGAATCATTAAGGTTGGAAAGACCACTAAGATCATCTAGTCCAACCATCAACCCATGCCTGTGACAGCTCTACACCATGTCCCTCAGTGTCACATCTAGGCAGTTCTCAAACAACTCCAAGGATGGTGACTCCACCACCTCCATGGGCAGCCTGTTCCAACGTATCACCACTTTTTCTGAGAATAATTTTTTCTTAATATCCAACTTGAATTTCCTTTGGCAAAATTTATGGCCACTACTTCTTGTCCTATTACTAGTTCATCACAATGCTTTCAGCTCTGAGAGTCTTCTGTGCCAAAATACACAAATGCTCGGTCCTTCTCTGATGGTTCTTTCCCTTCCTAGATGTAATGTGACGTGCTGTTCCTGTGACCAGCACCAAACCCAACCTGCGTGGCATCCCATCTGCCATCCTCCTCGGTGGGATGGCCACCTGTCAAGCCAAACTTGTCACTTGTCATCCAGGAGGTGGAGACCCAATTCTGGGGGTGGGCAGAGGGCAGGGATTGTCCCTTTGTTCTCCCAGACTATTCCAAGAAGGGTTTAGGGAGCAAAAGACAACACCATCATAGGCTGCACCATCATGGGGAATCCCAGTGGTGCTGGTGGTGTAGGGCTGGGGGAAGTGCAAAGAGGAAGCATTACTTTGGCAGCTGAGGTAGGAGTGACCCTGATGGGTGTCCTGACCTCAAACCAGACCTTGGACAAACATTTGGAAGCAAAATTCTAAAAAAAAGACAGAATTTATTGTGATAGCATCTATATTTGTCTTTTGATGTTTTCTTGCACAGCTTGTGGAAAACCTAGGTCAGAAAATGAAGAAAAATGGAGAAACAAAAGAATACCACAGATGAGCAGCTGTGGCTTTGTAATGCCAATGTCTGGGACATGCCTTGTTTACATTTCCAGAACAAACTGTTACAGGAAGTGGGTGCTCCATGCTCCACTCTGAACAGGTGCTTTACAGCCCGTTCCCTTTACAGGAATATAACAACGCTAAGTTGAAAACACACGACCAAAAACTCCCTAGTAAAAACTAATTATTTTTGGAAAGGCTTTCACTTTTCAGGAGTTAAGGAAAAGATCATTTGGAAGTATTTCCTAGAACATCTTTTATTTCATTAATATGTGAAATCAGAAGCATTTTGATTAGCTTCAAGGCCCATAATATTCTCTTTTGAGAGGGAAAGGTGAGAATATGCTTGTTCCCACTCTGCTCATCTGAACTATTTCACAAACTTGCAATAATTGAACTTAGTTGCTGAACATTGATACTGTTCCGGTGATATTCAGCACAGTATTTCAATGAATATTTTCTAAAACTTAATTTTGCAGCTTATTTCTTTTGGTCACAGAATCCAAATGTGTCTTCAGAGCTGCACGGTATTTGTCCAGGAATAAGAGCAGGTGAATTTACATGGGATTGCCCCTATTTGTAAATATACAGCTCTGAAAAACAACTGTCATGAGTGTGAAAATTTACCCCTAACAAGAAACATGATTTAGCAAAAAATGAGTGGTTTGTGTCAATCTCTGTGCTGCTATCTGAAACAGATGGATCGCAATATCAAATCAAATTTATGCTAGCTGTACAATAGCTGGGAACCAAACAGATATGTGTGAACTAAACAGGTGGACAGTGACAGAGAAAAATGGGTTTCCATGTGGATTTTAGAAAAATATAAAAACCAAATGCAAAATCTATGACTTGTAGCCAGCTTATCAGCCTGGGATACTTCTCAGAGAGCCCCAGGTTATAAGCCAGTGCCTGCCCTCCAGCCCACGATTCACAATTCCTGAGTTATCACAGAATTTGGAATTCTGTCAGATCTGGTTGTTTAACTTCAACATTTGATAGTGGTTTTCCATTAATGAATGAGCAGAGTAATTTGACACACACCAACAGTGCAAATTAAAGAAGCCTCCTGCTTTACTGTGGTGGATTTGTACCCTATGTGAGAAATTGCACCTGAGCGGAAATTGTCCAACTAAGGCAGAACAGGGTATTTTATTGTCTGTCAGTAGTGTTACTGGTCATTTATTTATCTGTATTATGGCAAAACCAAGAATTCCAGAAATGGGGCTTATTGGTAGAATTATAGTGAAAAAAAAAAATCCTACTCTGTAGAGACAATTCATCCAAATGCAAAGAAAGAATGAAGAAACTCAGGTAAGAATTAAATATCGTGGGAAGATATAGTGGTCCTACTTTTAGAGTCGCTGATTACAGCAGTTAACAGTGTGTAACAAACATGTAGCCTGATGTTATCTTGATTCGAATTTGTATGTAGGTTTGCTGAGCTCTTCTTAATCCAAGCAATTTGCTTTTCCCTCATAAACAGCTCTTTCCCAGGCCAGAATGTATAGGAAATTCTGTGTTAAGTAGGTGAGTGACTTTTTAAGGGATCTTTCGTATTTCTCTTTTTAAAATGTTCTGGGTCCCATTTTTAAGCTTCTTTGCCTTGAAAGAATACCTTTTTTTGT